AATGAAACATAGGATTGCGAAACCTCGGTGTGAATATTCTCCAACCTAATGTTCATAGGGCCCACGGCAATGGTCAATTCTTCAAAACGGGAGAGAAGGTAGAAAAGGTGGTGAGGGGTCAATGTCAGTTTGGCGGTTTTAGCATTCTGCGACATAAATTTTAATGCTGCGGATGAAAAGGCCGCGGCTAGGGTTGACGAGGTCGAGGCGAAAGAGCTGCCAGGGGTCAAAGGAACACTGGGTGACTGGGGAATGGCATTTTTGGTGGGTTGACGACGGAGCTGTAGTGCATTGGCGAGGGCTTTCTCGTGGGTGCGAACGTAGCTTGCAACATTCTATGGCAAACACGCGCGTTAGCTGGATATCTGACCATGTACTCAGACGATCTCTATCATCTCAACGATCAGGCGACTCTGTATAGAAACACAAACCTTTATGAAAAGTTGTCCATCCCCGGTGTTGATTTTCTCCATGGCGTCAACGGGGGTATGGTGGTGGACCGGGAGAACTCTGAAGATGGATAACTCAACAGATGTTGCCAGATGTAGTCGACATCTTGCTTGTGCGACCCGAATGAGACCCGAAAAAAAACGAGCAATCGAGGCTCTGAATGCGAGAGTTAGCAACGGTGTGCTGGAATTGATCAGTCTCATTGTGGATATTGGGGGGAGGGGAGGGAGGCAGGCAAGTGAGGAGGAATCATACCTGGAGGGATTAAATGTGGAGAGTCAAAGAACGACTCGATCTCCTCTCTGAGACCTCGAAAAAGTGAGATAGAGATTGGAGAGGAATTGCAAAAGGCGAGAGGGAAAAGGTGGCACCCGTGGACGGGGTAACCAATTATTTAGCTAAATAATACGCCTTATCCTGATAACACAATACACAGCCATATACGCCGTAATACACATTTACATCATTTATTTCGATTTTCTTTTATCAGCTGAGATATTTTAGAATGATAGTCGTCTGATATACTTCTGATTGGTTTTTATTTCTCCTTTTCGAGATATTTTTACTCTTATGCTTCACCTCGAAATGAATGCAATTGTCCGATTCTACCTGGTTTCCCTACATGTACATTGTCCTCTTCCCAAAATTTGACCTATCCAAGTACTAGTAATCTATAAGACACAGACCATGTACTCCGTACTTGGTCTAATACCGTATAGCCACTCACTAATATAAATAAATATCTGCTACTAATGCAGCTACTATACCCGGGTGGGAAGTGGCGAGCCTATGGGGACAGCGCCTAGGATTTTAGTTCGCCAACTTCTCTCCCGCGTCTATCAAGACGATTGGAGTCAACCGTTAATACCCTTCTACCCCCTTATTACTCTAGGAGGAGATAGGGAAAAGGAAATTGGATAGTTCGCAAAGATTAGTCTGTGGTGGTTTGACCCCTCTTGCATGATTGAACCATAGAATTCGCACATAGCATCAACATTATGAGTCGATCGTGGAGCAAGGAAACTCAGACCATATGCTATCGGTGGGTCCTGTACCGAGGGGCTCTCTTTGATCGACAGTAAAAAAATTTAACATCTTCCCATTCATGCAGTTGAAACCCACCCCTCCTGGAAACTGTTGAAACTTGTCATGAGTCCCATCTTGGCGGCGGCCTGTTGATCAATCTCCGACGCAGCCACACGCAGGCAACCTGAGTCCACGATGCAGACCGGGTGGGAATGCCGAGAGCTGGCCTTGTTGCCCTGTGCTCTTGTTGGCCCGCTTTTTTACTTTTTTCTATCGGCTCATGTACGCCGTACGGAGCAATCATGTATTCTTCAACCACTGACTCTTCAGCGCAAACCCCGACAGTACGAGAGTACGATACGCTCTGCCCTTACCGGATATGTCCTTGGTCATCTGTAGGCTGAAGGGGGTGCAGGCGATCAAATCGGGGTTTAGGCGGAAGCGAATGATCGCACGAGGCACACGATTGGCGGGGGCGCACATGCATGGGAGGATATCTGCATACTCGAAGGATGCCTCCCTCCTTAAAAGGGAAATAGTGGATGTAGTCATTCAGAAATTCAGCGAGAACGAGTATCAACAGAGGATAGGGTTGGCGCTATACCTTGATGATTCCCCGTGAAAGGACGAATCAGCGACATTCAACTAGAATTCGCAATTACGCTACCTGAGATCGTCCGAGTCCGTCAGCTCGCACTGACATCTGACATTCCTCTGGGTTAGTGGAGACACTGGAAATCGGATATGTGTTTTTTTTCTTTTTTTTTTTTACTTTAAATATATATGAACTCCAGATGTCTTCTGATGACATCAATATAAGTTACGAGACA